ATTTTGAGATGCCTTTGAAGTTTTTTAGCTTGAGGATATTTTTGTCTAAATATTTTTGTTGAATTGGTGACACCAAAATCATTATTCACCTTTCCATTGCCTTATTTATAGATCTTTCCAAAAGTATTTAATTTCAACGCATGTGTTATTCTAAGTCTTTGATTAGGACCTCCATCTTCATCAACATTCGCAAAAATTTTAGAACTCTTTGTGGTTGCTATTGATTTGAAGTCTTGGACAATTCTTAATTATAATTTTAAACAAATTGTTGAAAAGTCAAGCTATGGACCAGATTGGGTTAATAACACGACCCACGACCTAAAAAAGTTATAATATTACGACCGTCACGACGTCATATACAGAAGAAAAGTTGAAGTTGCGATGTGTATGAATCCAAAATCAAATTTGATCATCGTCATCCCAAAATTCCACCAAGAAACGTCTTTCACACTTTCCTTGCCTAGACAGTCACATTGTTGACTTTACCAACCCATTGCCCATAACAACAAGCCAAGTCTTGCAATTGAATTACTAAGTTAGCATCCATTTGCTTATGTTTACCGTTTAGCTCAATTTGCAGTTTAACCTAATTTACCATGAAAAAAAATACATGATTTTGGCACAACTGACGGACCCGACAAAAAAATAGAGTGAATAAGGTATGTGTTACGCATGCATGTTGTGAGAGAGGTTATAAGATTTGTGTTACAAGCGACAAGCCTGCACTAGATTAATTTAAACTACTAAAAGAAATTCAAATTTGAGTACATAATGAAAACATATTGCTCTAACTAATTTATCTAAGTCCAAATTTAACACAAATCAACCTTAGTTAGTTTCACAGTGATGATGCGAAAGTTGCAAGTGCTTATTATCCCACATATGTCTGCTCAAGGCATATTTTGAGATTATGAAGCATAACAAGTTTATGGCAAATATCACCCCTTAAACCCATCTTTGGGGCATCGACCTTCGTACCAATTTCCCTGAATTACTAAATGGAAATTTTAGTTATTATGCTTGGTATGATTTGTAATATCAGAAGGAAGCCAAGGGCAAGAGTTGTGCACCATCAACATCAAGGGGTGGAAGACTAGTCCAATATTTAATTTTCTTTTTGTTGATTTCCATCACGATCCTCGTGCCAATGAAAATTCTTTGACCCCACGTTCCCTCCTCCGTTTAGTCCAAAGTTAAATACAAGTCTTGTGCCTATAAGCCACTATCTTCAATACCTGTTCTTGCCAGATTTCAGAAGGCTCCTTACAGGGATGAGAAGGCAACTTGGGGAGGAAGAACTGGCTAAGGAAGCTATGGCTTTAGCCTCCTCACAACAAAATGAGCTCCCATTGAATGAGAATGACTCACAAGACATGGTCATATACCAAGTCCTAAATGAAGCCACGTCTCTCACCCCCTCACTATTGCCACAGAGGCACCACATCCATCGTCAACCAAATCGCCTCGAACCCACCAAGAACGTCGGCAAAAAGCACTATAGAGGCGTGAGGAGGCGTCCGTGGGGCAAGTACGCAGCTGAAATCCGTGACTCTGCAAGACAAGGTGCGCGTGTATGGCTAGGAACATTTAACACAGCCGAAGAAGCTGCCTTGGCATACGATCGAGCAGCTTTTCGAATGCGTGGTACTAAGGCCATGCTTAATTTCCCAGCTGAAATTGTGGCTGCATCATCTCCACCAACATCATCAGTTCATAGATTCAGGCCAAGTTTTAGTATACCTTGCAGCTTAAATAGTAAAAGCAGTATTACTACTTCAGACTCAAGTGGAAGTTCTAGTATGCCTTCAGTTGGGACGCCAATATCAGAATCTGAGAGTAAATTAAGTACCGTGGAGGTACAAAATATGGAGGGTCAGATCTTCTAGAAATCTTCTTCTTCTTTTTTACTTACAAACTTCGGGTTACTAAACATTAGGACATTAAGTTTCATTTTATAGAACGCAGAGTTCTTAAGAGGTGTCTGGGAAAGTTTGTAATTTTTCTTTCATTGGCTAGTTATTCTCTTTTGCTTTGCCAACACAAACAGTAACAATATAATTCACTGCCAAAGAAAGAAAAAAGGGTATACAAATGTACTGCAAGAAGTGAATTTTATTGGTTTTGTAATATAATTGAATGAGTTGGAGCTTATTTTGTATAGATACATACATTCTTTTGGTTTTCTCTCTTTGAGCTTCACAATTTTGATGAGGCAGGTGGATGCAAGAAGAAATGCTAAAATAACTCTTAAAAGCGGGACCTTCATGAAATCTCTTTTACCTCATATTTTTTGCACAATGTTTAATAATGTTGGTATAAGAATTGACGTTAAACTGGATGTGACAAAGAGTCCCACTTGTGAGAGATTCCTCTTAACATTTCTCATCTACTAAGACAATTTACCTACAATTTGTGGAACACTCAGTGAGAATTAATTATCATCTTGTCCAGTACCTAATGTGAAAATGAAGAGGACTGTTCATATCAGTCCCTTAAAAATCAGTCTCTGGGCTTATATTTTGTAGTGTTGCATGGACTATGGGACAATTTTTACATACTAAATAGTGTCTTGGAGAAATGTAAAGGAAACTCTTTCAAAGTATTTTTCATGAATCATTGATCACCTCGTAATTGAACGTCAATTCATGTGTCAACGTTATAAAATATTGTATTAAAAATATAAGATGACAGAAAGCTCATGAAGTGTTTCCACTTTTGAATCTCTTTAGCATTTCTCACTTGTCAAATGGACCACTATTTTGGTTGGTGGGTAGACACACATGAACCTCTCTATCTAATTTTTGTAAGACTAATTGCCAATTTGGTCAATCAATCCAACCTAATCTCACATTGGTTCTCTCACATTAATTTGTTCCATTCTATTGCAAGTTGAACCCAAAAACTTACACGTAACTTAGATTGACAATAATCTAATCTCATATTCAAAGCAAATAGACTTATCCCTTGCAGGGACCAAATTTTCTAATCAGCAAATCAACCTCCTTTTTATTTTCAACTAGAAGAAGAGCAGTTCATGTAGACCATCCATTGACCGTACAATTTAAAATTTTGTTATTAAGAAAAAGAAATGTGAAATGTCTTTTGGATAAGCTGACCAGGTTCATAGCACGGCTTGACTTTGAACAGGGAAGAGAGAAAAGTAAATAAATTAAAAATTCAAGGTCGGTTGCGGAGTGGGTTTGCTTTATTTTGTTTTCTTTTAATAATTGAAAAAAGATGGTTCATCTTCAACATGTGAAAGTAGATATACTTGAGGGTTAAAAGTTGAGATGGAGAATTTGAACTTGGTATCTGATTATTCATATAATATTTTCGTATCACATTTTTATATTATTTTTGATGATATTTAATGTGAACAATCACATCATTTAAATTAATTAAATTTTTAAATTTAGTTTATTATTTAATAAACTAATAATTAAGAAAAACTAGTTAATTAAATGATGATTGTGGTATACGATGAGTCTTTCTTTTTCATTTCCTTGGATTTTACAAAATTTTTAAATAATGTGACTATTAACATCAGATGTCGCCTAAGGTAATATGAAAATACTATATAAAAACATGATATGAATAACATTATTCTAAATTACCACGTGGGAACCTTTTTGTCCTTCCGAATACTTTCTGACGTGTTATGTTCTTTTGAAAAATACATGGGTCCTCCCCCGAGAGTGTCTAATTCCTGACCAAATGACATGGCCCTGTGAAATGGGAACAGCTGTCCCTTTTAATTCCGTATCAAATTTTTGCTATGTTGAGAACCAAACAGCCCTCTTCTTCCTCCTATTACCTCTGCCATGTCAAATCTGAACAACCCTATCCTCTTCCAACCTTCGTCAACCCCACCCCGTGACCTCGACGGCTCCGGCATCATGTGCAAGCTTCAAGCTCACTCGCCAAGCCGACGTCGATTCCTTAACCGAGATACCCCAATCCGTAATCCTCCCAAATTTTGTCGCCGCAATCTCACTGCGGGGTGCAGTCAGCGGTGGGAGGAGGGTGGGTGGGCTTGGTGGTGGTGGGAAAGGACGGTGGCTTGGGATAATGGGATGGAACTCATGAAAGGCTGGTAGAAATTTGGTGAGGGAGAAGACGTGTTTGGATAGCAGAATAGAATGTGTTTGGCAAAAAGGATAAAGGCTGATTGGCTATGTGTTAGCAGATTTGAGATGGACAGGTGTTATTATCTTATTGTTCCACGTCTCCAAGTCAGCATATTGGGTACACTACTCCCCGAGGAGTAACCACAAATTGTCCTTTTCCTTTCGCTTTTTATCTTAGATGATTTTTGAGATTTACATAATTCTTCATTTTAATTTTTGAAATTTAAAATTGTGGTTTATGAGATTGTCCATTTTGGTCTTTCAGTGAGAAACCTCCGTTAAATTAAAGGTGTTTTTTTGTCAAATCAACTTTTCCTCTTGAACGGGTGATTTCTTCAATTTAAAAGAAATTTTTTCACAAAAAACCAAAATAATTGACAGTAGACAATTTCATAGATCATTTCTATTAATTTTAAAGCTCAAAAATTAAAATGAAGAGTTATAGCAATCTCATAACCATTTTTTGTAAAAAGTCTATCATCATTCAACGTTTTCATTTTATTTGCCTCTCCATCTTAAGCCAGCTCAGAGATATCCTTTTGATGGTAGAGTAATGCTAAGTAGATTGTAGAAAAAATTTGAAAATTAAATGACATGGAAATTAATAATTAGGCTATTACTTAAACATTGATAAATATGCTCATTCCTATTGATGACAAATAATAATTTTGTCGACAAATTTAGTCTTTCTAGCAGTACCCTAAAAAATTAGGTAAGTTAATCAACACTTAAGTAATAATCTACTCATTGACTTATCATCTAATTTACAAAATTTAATCTATAAATTTGGTCTACTTGAATTACCCACCAATCTCTCGAACTAAGAATAGTAAAATAATTAAATAATATAAAACTCTTTGAAAATCTGGAAAAAGTAAATTACAAGAGTGGTTATAACATGGAAACCTTTTGTATAAAATCCTAACACACCTGCTGATGTGTCTTAAGTTGGCGAGTCACTATCCTTTATTAAAATCTTAACAAGGCACACTATAATTGTTGATTAATGTATGCAGATTCCACGAGAAATTGTATGTAAGTATATAATGTTTTGCTATTTTTTTAAATAGAAATTGCTTTCTCTTTCTGTAAGGCTAGTTTGAATGGAAGTTACACATCATGTTCTTCAAAAAGAAGACAGCAAACTGTCCAAGTAGTCACTTCCCAGGTCTTGGAACTCAAATACATCAAATTCATGATAACACATCTTATGAATGCTTGCCTTCCTCTTCACTGCATGGTTTTCTTTCCTCAACATTTTCTTCCCAATCGCTCAACCCTCTCTTCCGAGGATTCGAACCGATTGAGGATGAAGAAATGCTGAAGCAATCCAATCCCATAGCCTTTGCAACTGTTTCAAGGGGGAAGTTAAGATGTGCCTTTGAGCCTCTAATTCTCAAAGCAGCCTTGTCATAAGCCAAAGCGGCCTCCTCAGCAGTCTTAAAAGTCCCAAGCCAAACCCTAGTCCCCTTTTCTTGTTGAGTCCCTAATCTCTGCTGCATACTTGCCCCACGGCCGCCTCCTAACTCCGCGGTAGTGCTTCACAATTTCCACTTTCTTTGCTCTCTCGACCTTTGCTTCACATTCCGAATTTGTAGCTCCATTGCCTTCTAACTTGTCATTGCAAGACTGCTCCGTATTTTGTGCAGGACCAACAACACTGTCCAGAAGCTCCTCCCAGGCCTCAGTTCCCATTGATATCCACCTACCTAGACTTGGTAGCCTTTGTAGAACTTCCATTGAACCTTCTCTCCCATCAAGAGGAGGCATATCTTCCCAGGATTGAGACAATTCTGTTGCGTTTTTCGGTCCATCCACACCGATAAAGCTCGCCCACACGTTCTCTAGTACTATAGCTTCAGATGCTGGCTTTTCTGCATGAATATCTTCAGATGCTGGCTTTTCTGCATGAATATCACTATGTACAGTCATATTCACACAATTTGAAGTCGATATGAGGGGAGAGAAGAGATTGAAAGAATGGGCAATATAAAGGACTAAAGAGAGACGCGTGAACAGCTAAGCTTTTAATGAAGGGCCTGGAAACTTGTAGCTCAATCCAGCTGCTAAATGCATGGAGGATTTCAGGAGTTTAAGAGTTTAATAAAATGTGGGATTCATTATTAAGTCTCCCACATCGACTTTTGTGGTGTTCTAATCATTTGTGCGGCTTTATCGATGTAGATTCTATGCACTTAGGGTTTTCTATTGTCAAGACCTTCCACAAATTCATGAAGATTACATAAGAAACAAAGAAGAAGACGAATTGAAAGCTGGATAGAGTATAAAGTTGAGTTTTTATAGTGGCACGCTTACACCTCTCGCTTCTAAACAATCCTAAAAACCTACTATAAAATCATTTTTTTCCTTAAGGTACTCTTTGAAAATAATTGCAGACAGATGGCTGCAGTATTCAGAATTGTATTTTAGGACTCAACTGAGACAATATAATATCATATATAGATGGCACTTGGCAGAGTCAGGTGGAAAGGGATTTGGATCATTTGAGGATTAATTAGCAAAAATATCCCATCTGAACATAATTAATTAATTCTTGTTGCAAATCAGATCCCTTTGACCTGAAGCTACTGATTTCACAAGTAAATTCTTGTGTACCCTTGAAAAAAGATATAATATGAGAGTTTTAAAATCTTTTTACCACACAGAGAAGAGACTGCAAAATTGTAAAGTCCAAAAGTGCTGCCCTATACTAATTTACTTGAAGACATTTCCAAAAGAACATTATTTTATAATCGAAAAAACTTCAAAGAGGGTCATTTGAAATTTACATGGAAAATATAATTGTTAAATAATTGTAAAACTCCATCCAATCCAACCTTGTGATATTCATTTCTTGGACTAATCCAGTCCCGTCCAAGGAACCCAGAAATGGCAGTGAACATGGTATCCAAGAAATGCCACGGTATCCAACCTTGTGATATTCATTTTTTGCAATAAGCTGGCATATCTTAGAGCCCAAGAAATGCCAGCTTGATTAACCAGTAGATGCACAAATACAAGCTATCAATGTCCTAAACTAGCCGCACGCTTCACTTAGAATAATAATATAATAGCTAGCTAGCGAGAATAAAAACAATAAGGGCCGATGACAAAAGGGGAGGTTTGATTTGCAGAAGATCAAAGCAAGCTAGGGATGTTGTTATGTAGATGCGGCGTACGAACATGATTTGGAGTGGAATATTTATCAAAATCCGTGGGTGCATTTGAATTAGGCGTGTTAGAAATGTATTCAGAGCCAAGGGGTTTGACTTTGATCACTTCTCTTTGCTTCTGTTGATGGCAAAAGGATAACATATTCTTGCAAAGCGTAAGTTGTTTGGCAACTCTCGCTGATTTTTCACTTGTGCTAGGATGTCATGCGCTCCCTCAAGCTTCAACTTGATATTGTCTTTTTAAGACCTAAACGTTTAGTTGGCTAGGACATTGTGTCATATTTGTATTCAAATTCAATTATCCCTACTTCATAAAGTAGAAAAGATCTAACTACATTTTACACACTTCATGTTTTGCATAATATTTGAAAAATGCCACAAAGCTTTAATTTCGCATATTACATCATGAGATTTTAAAATTGAAAAAGTATGTCTTCTATTTATTTGATTGTATAAGCTTTCATTATAATGACGATGTGGCATACGTGAGACCAATTTATGAACTTCATAAAAGCTACACTGTCACTATTGGGATCAAACTATGTGACAAGGAGTTGTCGTTTTAGAAAACAAAGCATTATAGTTGAGATCGTTGAGAAGTCAATGCTCCATATGTGAATAGTTGTGGTATGTATGCTGTAAATGTGGATTCCACACTAACTAATAAATTGTCTCGCACTTATCCTATTATTAATTTAATGAAGGACTAGACAACCGTCAAAATAACACGGGGCAAAAATCCTTGTGGGATGTAAAAATGCTTCGTTAGGGAGGGTTCCGCTTAGAGAGAAGCACTTGCACGAGTAGCGGTGACAAAGCAGGAGTGAGAATGTCGGCTTGATTAACACAAACATTGGTGAGGATTAATGCCCTCGAAAACCTAAGGATTCCTTTGTAAGATTCATTCACGAAGGATGAGTCAGGGCCTAAGATCAGGCCGAAAGGTGTAGTCAACGACTCTAAACTTAAAAGAATATAAAACTGAATAAAGCTTTTATAATATTTTTCTATTAGATGTTCTAAATCAAATTATTAATAAATATAGCAAATAAGTTTGTGCAGCTATAGTACAGTTATGCACATCAGCTTTTGCGTAGGAACGGTGCTGGCAATTCTCTCCAATGGCAATGATAGACCAGCACATTGCGTTAGATTACAATTTTTATTTTTTTTTTTTTTTTTATTTTTTTTGTTTTTACCTCACATTAAAATTGCAAATTGATATGTAAAGCATGAATATTAATCTCATTAATGATATATTATCTATTTATCCACAAATAAAGAATGAAAAATAAGAAGTGTTCTATTTGTACAATTTCAGTGCATTTGTACGTCCTAAATCCAGATAATCCAGATAAGTACGTTTTTTGGGCTTCACTGCACCCCACACAGAAAGCATACTAGTTAGAACTTGTTTAAACTAGCATTCCGCTCTACAATTGGTCGTGTCATCAAGGACTATAATTGATCAATTACCATAGTCGTTCATGAAGATCTTATAACCCAAGTGAGTGCAAAATAAAATGCAAGCATACGTGTCACGGTTATATTGTGAAAAAATTGCGTTATGTTGGACCAGGAAATGATTATTACGTGAAATGATTATCACAATTACTCACGTGAGTAAAACAAATTACTCGAACCTTCAACTCTGGTACTTAAATTCTTTTGACAACAATCGATACAATTTAAGAATCACCAACTGATTTCTTGTGCATACATCACTGTGTACCCCGCCAAATTCTCTTATACGAAGAGTGCTTCGGAAAGAGTTTCGAGAGCCTTGTCAGCAATGATTTTGTACATTTTTTCAGTTGGATGAACAGCATCCCAGTATACGTACTTTGCTGGGTCAGTGCATGTCTCTAGTCCCCGGCATGAATCTCCAAATTCTATGGCTCCAGTCCCGCAGCATCCTTTTGAAGTTTCAGCCAAATCTGCCAGTTTTCACAAAACTTTTTAGTTTCTTTTAGTTATAACACAGAATTTGGACTTGTCTCCATTATCTGGTGTCAAGTAACGTGTCAAATCAGGTGTCAAATCAGATACGAATTACTTATTTTTAATAAATTTATGAATAAATAGTAAGCAGAAAAATTGACTGACCATATAATTTTGGGTTATTTATGGCATTTTGTATAATACCATAAGCATCAACAAAACCAATTTTCATTCTGGATGTTTTGGTTATGGCCTCCAATTTCTTTTGTATCCTGGAACCCAACGAGAATGCCACTTTGTTGTAATTTTCAGCACATGCTGTCACGTCCATTAGCGTTTTCACTAGTGGCATGCACCCCAATGGTGGAACCCCAACCACAACCAATCTTGTCGCTCCTATCCTCTCCATTTGCTGCACCAAAAATAAACCTAAAAAATGTTTAACAATACAGATTACAGATATGTGTACGCAGTTTTTCTCTTTTTGCACACCTCTCTTTGTGTCTCTTACTTTACTTTACCTTGATTGATTGAATTCAAAGGCCAAGATGAAAAGAAATGTATGCAGAAGGAGAAAACAGGTGTGTCGAAACCATTTCGTAGGGATTTTATGAATTCAAACATTTTAGTTAGGGCCGAAGATTAGGAGATTAAAGAAGAGGACCTGAATGCCATTAGCCATGCAAGAGACCAAGTAATTTTGGTACTCTTCAACACTGAACTGCTTGGGTCGAGTTGGGTCCAAGTAGTAATTTTGGACAAAGTCATTTGTGCCCATACTCAATACGAGTACAGCAGTTCTAATAATATCCTCAGCCTTCTTCTGACCTACCAATTTTATCAGCTTGACTTTGTAATGCAAAAAATACTTCAGCTGTCTGGGAAGAGACAATACACTCTGTTCAATCAACAAAAAGAAAATTGATATACATTAGTTTTCACTTGTGATTATGTGACCGTCACACTAAAATTTCTCATTAAAAAGTATTCCATAGTCAGTTACCGAAATGTTGGCGGTCAAATCATCATAGCCGGAACCAGCTGATGCGAAACTAACACCATGCGGCAGATCTTGCAACTTCAAATTGGTGTCAAGAAATGCTGGGATTATTTTTGTGTAACCAAGGGCATCCGCTGGTAATTGATCGTAAATCGGAAACATGCAAGGTAATTGAATAAACACAACATATGAAATACAAGTAAATTAGTCATAATGTGACTAATTATGAATTAAAACTGTGTTACGTACCAATAAAATCTGTGGCAAGTCTTCCATTAGAGAACCTTCCAGTAGGGAGGCCATTTAAGAAGTCTTTCCCATAAGGAAGGAAGTTGCCCTTCAGGAAGGTCGGTAGAACATTGTTGTTGCCAGGATCAACACTTGAATCTCCAAACACTAAGACACATGTTACGTTGTTCCGAGCAGCGACTTCCCTCACTCGGCCAATGTCGACTGCTCCTGAGAGCAAAGGAAGCAGCAAACCCAACGTTACGATCAGCACACCCATCGCCACCATTTTTGAATGCATTAATGCTTTTCTATGGAACTTTAATAGGTCCTCCAAACACTAAGACATTAATGCGTTAATGCCACCCTTCACCTCTCCTTTAATAGGCCGGTGATAATTAAATGACTGATATTGTTGGTTGAGTAAGATTAGTAGACTAAATTTGCAGACTAAATGATGTATCACCAATAAGAAATAATCATGTTAATCAACACCAATAAGAAATAACTCAATCATCAACTTCCATGTTGTTTAATTTACAAAATTTGATCTACAAATTTAATCTCCCTAGCATTAGACTGGTAGGTTTTGATTCGTCGACAGTGTTCTCATTGATGGATATATATGTTGTAAAAGGGGTGGCTTGCAAGGGAAGAGAATTCAATGCTAGCTACTGAAGCAGATGTCAAACATAAATGTGGACATGGCAGAACCTGCAAAATGCACATGAAAGTTATTGAGCTAAACCAAGGTTAAAAATGATAGCAACACTAATCTCTTAACATATGCGTTGGTCGAGTTGGCCCAGTTCTCTTCACACATGAACTCCACAAATAATAGAAGGACTTACCTGAAGTGAAATAGGGATATACATCAACGGGTTGTAGGGTGTCCAAAATTAATTATTCGACACATATATGATAGTTAACACACATTGTAGACCATTAGTTAGCGTCTCGGTTTCATGCACAACAAATAATGATTTTACCCACCCATTTTTTCTATGTATAAGGAGGCTTCTACCTTCCATTTTTTCTATATATAAGGAGGATTCTACCTTCCAATTACAGCATGTCAAATCTTCAGTTCCTAACCATACCAATATTATTCCAACTTAATCACTCATTGCTAAGGGTGCAACTTGGGTTGGGTCAACCTGAATCTGCCCATGCCAACCCGATTTCAAACTCAATAGAGCGGTTTAAAATAAAGGAAAAACCCGTCCAAACCCAGCCCAACCTCAACCCTATTAATTATTGGGTTGGGTTGGGTTGGGCTGATGCTTTGCCCGTCCATGCCAACCAAATCCCAACCGCATTTCTAGCCCAAATTGCTCATGGACATATTACCCGTCCCATTTCATATTATATAAGCTACTCGAAGTTTGTTGTTTGGTTTTCATTTGAAGCAATAAATGATTTTGTTGATTTTACGTTTCTTTTGGTTAAAACGTTGGTATTGTGTATGTAAAATTGATTTTAAAATATTTATGATGTTATTTGATTCAAAATTTGAGATTTATCTTATAAAATAATGTGTTACAAGATTGAAATTGATAAGGTTGGGCAAACCTGAACCCAATTTAAACCCGAACCCGAATTAACCTGAACCCAAACCCAAATTAGGAATGTTGGGTTAGGGTTGGGTTACCATCTAACCTGCCCGAGTTGCAAACCTACCTATTGCCAGACATTGAGTTTTATCACAATGTCTCAGTGTTATTAGGATGAAACTATATGCTTATATATTGTATTTTATTTTCTCAATTCTCTTATTTGGGACTTATATTCACACCATATTATCTCTTTCTCTCGAGGTTTTACTTTCTCAAAGGCTTGAATGTAAAATTTACAATTATATTTACAGTGAATTATAAACTACTATATACGTAGACGTAGCCCAATTCAAATTGAACCACACACAAACACAATATTTGTGTGATTATGAGTCTTGCTTATGTTGATCCGATTTTGTGCATCGACCACATGATATGTATTCTAAATGAGATATATCAATAATTAGGAGGAAACAGTAGCCCGGTCTCGGCGTTTTAAGCAACAAATTCATGTATAGCATAAACTGGACCACGCATATCCAGTGGGTCGGCTAGCCTGCCTAACCAACAAAGTTAAGAACAAGTTGGATTATTGCAACTTGCAAGAAACGTTCTCAAATATTCTTCCGCACACTTCTGTGTATTATTTACTTCCAGATGTAAAATATGCATCCATGGACCATACTGTCTTCTGTAAGAAACCCTAATTACAGAAAGGTTGAAACAAACTAATTAAGCAGAGCTGCTTCCAATAATTAGCCTCCTTTGGCGGTGAAACAATATAGCTTTATTGCTGGACAGAATTAAATGCTTCAATAATTTTCTGCAAATCTTTAAAGATCAGGTCAAGAAATTGGGTCTGCCATAACTCGAAACCCAATTGATATTGTGATATATATACGTTGTAGGGTTTTATCTGTGTTGGTCGATGATATCGGTTCGAGAAAATATATAACTAGCATATTTAGTGGTTGAAGAGAAAGTAGGTAGTGCAATTTTAAATATTCAATAATTCATCGATTGATTTGACCCAAAAGAAACTCATTGATTAATCTCGTAGCTGCTGAAGGTTGTAATGCACAGATATTTCTTTTTTTTGAGGAAGTAGTAATATACAGATTACGACTTTATTCGATCGCATCATTTCTCTGCCCAGAAATTGCTTTCTTTTATTGAGGTTGAAGGTGGTAAACATCATTGTCATTGATCATAAAGATTTGGGTTCTGCTTGTACCCAACTTGGAGGAAGTTAGGATGTCTCAGCTCAAAAGACCAGGCATTATTTAAGTGCTGAATCGATCATAAACCTAACTTAATTGAGGCTTGTCTGGTAGTAGGACCGGTGAATAAGAAATGTATATGCATAAAAGCTAAAAACCTAAAAATTGAAAGAATGTTTACGTTGTTTCACTTTCAAGTTCAGATTTTTCCTTCCTTCTTCCATCTCCTCCTTCCTCCATTGCTCCACTGTATTATTATTCCTATCTTATCTCATGTACTAGAAAATGTAGTTACCAAAGAGCCTTTGAACGACAGATAAACACACAAGTTTTCTTTCATATATATTGTGTTCTGCGCAGTTCACCATATTTATTTTGAGGAATGCTGGAGTCATTTACTTGCTTAAATCAATCATCTTTATATAAAGCCAACTAGCCAAGGGCCCAATGAACAGTATTTTTGGTGTCACAAACTTCACAAAAATAGTTAGACAAAAATGCCCCTTAAACAAAAAACTTCAAAAGCAACCCAAAATAATGCATCAAATGTGGCAGGGGTATTTTCATCATTTTAACAGTGTTTTTTAATAATTAATTTTTTGTACAGTTTTTTTTTAATAATTAAAACCTCATAATAGGCTAGCAATAATATGATTCAATCAATTATTCATTAAATAATATTTTATCTTTTTTTAAACACGTTCAAAACATCTTAAGAGGTGTGTAATGCCAGTTATAAAAAAGGTTTTTCGTACGCGGATAATAATGTGATTAAATTAGTTGTCAAATGATTTTTTTTTTTTTAACAAACGATATTATCTACATTAAGTGGGAGGGAGGGTGGGCTTAGCCTCACAATGGACTAACAATAATGTGATTCAATCAGTTATTTATTAAATATTATTTTCTCTATTCTTAATATAAATTCAATAGAGACCGATTTTATTATGTGAATTCAGCTGCTTTAATTGGTTTATGAGGGGTTTCTTCAAGCATGATCTAAGATTATTTATTTACTTCAAATATTTGACTGTTCTTTTGTCAATCTAAGCATATAAATACATTTAAAACGTGTAAGTCGCGCGTAGCACGCCGTGATTCAAAAAATGCCTTCTACACGCGCGTGACGCGTGCATGAAGGCTAGTAAACTTAACTAAGGCTCATCTAGCTTCTTTTTTTTTATTATTATTATTTTTTTAATAGTGATAAAGGCAAGAGAAAATAAATGAGATAAAAAAGGGTGTGGAAAAATGGTAGTAAGAGGGGTAAAGAAGAAATATATATGGAGAAAAACTAAAAACATAAAAAATGGAAGAATTTTTAAGTTATTTTCACATTTAAATTTACATTCTCGCTGTTTCTTCTATCCATCTCCCTCCCTCCATTGCTCCTCTTTTACGCGGAAAATTTGAAAAATAGATGAATTGCGGAAACACTCGAACCTTTAACCCAAATTTGTAGACTTGTAAGATTTTAGCCACTTGAGTTAGGTTTGAGCATGACTATATTTCTTGATCTCTAGTGCTCTTGTGGCTATATTTTCTAGTCTTAAATTAGAACATGAAAAAAAAAGGGTTATATGTCTTCAGGAAAATTAGCTATAAAAAAAAGAATTTAAACTTTGGTTGGTAAAATAGAAAGAAAAATATGAAACACATGAACAACATTAGTCTTTACGAAGTAAAGTTTCTATACAAGCAAAGCACTAAAGATCCAAACTTTGTCTTAATTCTAAAACTAATTCTTTAAATGAACTACCAAGTCCTCCGTTGTAGTCTAGTTGGTCAGGATATTCGGCTCTCACCCGAAAGACCCGGGTTCAAGTCCCGGCAACGGAATTCTATTTTTTTTCAAATTTCTCTTTCGTTCCAAACACAAACGGCGTCAGTCCGTCTCCGTCTGCGTGGGTTTTTTGGCGGGAACATAAACTCAATGCGGATTAGGGTTTCGAAATTCTGGCAGAGGAAAAGATGGAGAAGCCCGGCAGTACGAGAAACGTGGGAGGAATCGAAGAGAAAATATTAGCGATCCTCGGGTCTTCCGAAGCTAAAGACAATCAGGACGCCTACGAGGATAGTAAGTCTTAATTCTGTTGTTCCCTTTTTGTTGATAATTGCCTGTTTGGCTGCTGAGAAAATTCGTCAAGAAAATGAAGTTGGGGAACTAAAATTGGTTCCTCTATCAGTTGCTTCAACTCTGTTCTATATTATAAAGGGAATCACACCGTTTTATCTGTATTTTTTCTTCCAACATTTTTGGGCGTTTTTCAATCGTTGCTTGTTTATTTGGAAATTGGTGAACAGGAATCACTTTTCTCGAAGCCGTTCGTGCTGCTTCCATTGTACCGAAAGATGGAACTCCACCTACCTAGTCTCTCTCTCTGTTTACATTCAAAAAGAAGGGAAAATATTGGATCTTTAGAGGAAATTACCTTGTTTATAGGTTTATAGGCATAAATTTTCCCGAAAGATGGATTTTTTTTGTTTATTATAATCGATGTTTCCGATATATCTTTGCCCAAATAACCAATTTCTGTTCGTGCCATTTGTTGGACAGTACCATGTTTGAGGCAATCTTCTCCATTTAGATAAGGTGCCCAATGCTCACGTTAATATTCAATTTGTATTTTTATACAATCAGATGGTGCAAAGTTTCTTACAAATTTACTCTTCCTGTATTTTTTTTAGCGTTTCCCTCGAGTATATTCTTATGATGCAGATAAATCAAAATCATCCAGTAGCTTACCTGTATTAATCGTGGTTGAAGAGGTACTAAGACTTTATCTTCTCCCCATCTGTTTGATATGTTGGACTGACTCATCTTGTATCAATTAAACGCCATTTCTGTGTGCTTGTTAGGCTTGGTTTCCATTCGCCTTCAGCTCTGAAATCGTTTGTAACGAAAAGGGAGCTGCTAATAACTCCGGGAGACCAGTTGACTCATATGTGAGTTAGATTTTTGGATCATAATTATAGTTTTTGTGTGAAAAGCTAGTTCACTTTATTATGTTTAAGATCCTAGTGATTGATGACATTTCCACCTGATTTTATATATTTTGTTTTGGAGCTCCCGTTGGAATCTTATCTTCGTTTTGGTAAGCTCATCTCTTGCAATTTCACCTTGATTGAAGTGTTCTCTTGCCAACTGCAGAGTTTCCAACTTTTGATACGAGAACTTGTTGATGCAACTGGTGAAGCAAACTTCCAAGCATCAGAAACAAAGGTTAGTTTACTTGCAGTAAGATCATAGAAAATGTATAAGAGAAGATTTTGAATTCGCATTTTCTTTGAATATGTCTGATAAAATGATCAGAGAGCATAATATGACCGTATCGTTCTTGAGCTTTCATTCAATCCGTGGTTTTGGGTTTTGATTGAGTTTTATGTTTTTGGTAGTTTAATGATATAGACTTACTTAACCTGCTTAGTCTTGCTTCCCTGGGTAAGCGAATTTGCCCATCTTTTTTTGGTCTTATTTGATCTTTTGTTGCAGTCCTTGGCAAAGATGCTATTGTTTCAATACCTAATTAATGTTTTGGAATGGGATTTTCTACCATGTAACTGTATCTATAAAGGTAAATTGATATCTTCTTATCTGTTATGTCATGTACCTCTAGCTTTCTGGAAGTTTTAAGTTGCTCCTTATTGTATGCAGAAACCACGAACTGGGTAGTTCTGAGAGAGTCGTTACTCAACATGCTTCTGGTATTCTCTCTCTTTCAAGCCATGAATACTGAAGAGCCCGTTTCACATTGCCGATACATTAATTGATTCTTATACCACAACTCTTACCCTCAAAAGTATCTTTTGAAGGTGTCAAGGAAAGTAAACCACTCAAGCTTGATGAAGGATTGCTTGACCATTATGTGTAACCTGTATCAAACCCATGCTGGATTCACTGATGATCTGATATGTTCAGAGAACCCTATGGCACAACCTGCTGAAAATTTTGATACTGGTCCTGCAATCGCTTTACTCGAGATAGGAAAGAATACCTGCATAGCCACGCAGAAGTTTCTATTAATTGTAAGCCCCTTAGAAATGTTTTTATGGAGGTTTTGTATGATGAATTTCAGAATTGTCACTCATTTTGGACTTTTCAGATAATGGAGCTTGATGTATCCATGCAGAGTGCAGATACGCAAGGTTCTACTATCAGAGCTGATGGCATCAGGTACTAGTTTGTTTTCTTGATTGAACGGTAGTTGCTCTCTCTCTCTCTCTCTGCTTATATATCATCTTTCATTTTAATATTTTTTTTATGCAAAAACACTTTTCACATTTGGTGCAGAACTCCTCTGTTGGAGATGATTTTGGAGGAACTAACGTACAATAAAGAGATTCTTGACCCATTTCTCCAGGTTTAAATTGTTTTAATTGCTATCCCTCACCCTCTCCCATTTGTGGTTTTCTATGTTTCTGAATCCCTACCATAGGTGGCAGCCAGTACCGTTGATTTCGCACCTAAGGAGTTCCATTCATCTGTTAAATTTTGACAGGGGGAGTTCATTTGTATAGCTGTTTACTGAAATCTGATGCTTTACAAACATTGTTCTTGGTGCTTATAGCATGGCCGCTGTTCTATCTTCAAGTGTAATTGGGTTCATGTGCACTTGGTGCATCATTAGCAATTTCTTTGAGTTTGTTAAGGGTCTTGTATTTCATTAATTTCTAACCTTCAGTATTAATGTGTAACAATTTTTTATAAGTTGGCCCCGAGTTCTTATTCCTTGTTTGTTTTATGAGGTTGCATTTGCAGGTTTTGGATGAACCTAAATGGAAGCTTAAGATAGTTGTTCAGTACTTGTGGAAATATATTGCTAAGGTAAGTTTTCAGAGTGCGTTTATTTTGTCCTGGCATTACTTTTATTTGTTATATTGCCTGTTGTCTGTTAATGTCCTCACTTAATTGTATTCTACATGTCGTAGCCTTCCATTCGCACTCGTAGGTCAAATGGTCCTCCAGATGATGATGCATCTTTCAACGGAGCATTGAAGTGCTTTTCAAATATCACCGGTGCAAAAAGTACCAGAAAGAAGATTAGGACACAAGTAGTACAGTTGCTTTTAGCACATGGATTTCAGGTGATTATTCTCTTTATTCATTCCAGGGCGATGTTTTGGTTAATTCTTCAAAGGATGTGATGTCATTTTTCCTTAACATTCTTATTGTGTGTGCGCCTGTGTATATGTCTGTGTGCATTGGTTACAGAAGTGTTCGTCTATGGATGGTATGTACCACGTAGATATAGCTTGTCTTTTCTTGTGGGACTACCGAACATTGCCTATTACCATGTGCCATTGATTACATGGTGTTAATGCAGTCGATGGCGTTTAGAGGGCATTGTGCAAGCGAAATGACCCAAAATTGTCTGAAAAGGCCTTAGATGAGGTCTTGTTTCCCAGTTGGATGACATTTGGACAACTGGGATGAGTCGATATACATTTATATCTGATTGGATGGCTAAGAAGACATACTATGTACGTGTATGTGTGCACGAGCATGCACCAGTATTTAATCCTACGATAAATTAACACACCAAATGGCTTTTTATCTTATGCTATGAGACTTACGATGTTAAGTCAATCAGAGTAGCATGTCTTAAACTTTAACCGTAAGTTTCTTAAAACTTTCTAAGTCCTTTTCAGGCTCATTTGTCGCTGCCATGTGAAAATCGTCTGGTTGGAGACGCCTCTGCTTCCGATGAAGAAACAAGTAGTGACTTACTTGTTGAAATATGCGAGAATATAATATCAGCATTCAAAAATATGAAGGCAGCAGACAAGTAAGTTCTGAATCAGAATCCGTTTTTACTTGTTTGTTTCTTTATTTCCTACGCACATGGAAAGTTTTAACGAAACACTCCCAGTACTATTCACTTTTAACGAAAAATCAGATTTTTACATTTTCCTAGTACTATTCACTACACATTTATTTGTCATTTTTCATTAAAACTAAAATTTTTTTTTTTTTAATTTTTCGTTAGTTTTCCTTCGCACGTCTGTTATAAACAGTAAGTTTAAGCACGTAGGCTTTTTATTTATAAGTTTTAACCACGTATTATTACCAAAACATGGTTTAGGCGCATGGAGATCTCGTCACTTGGAAAGGAAGCACTATTTACAGCAGCTACGATAGTATCAGCAAAGTCATAATATCTTACAGGTAACCCGATTCAAAAGCTCTAGTATTTATACGCTTATTGGCTAAACTTGAATCTTGATCACGTCTGTTTATCAGGAAAGATTCTGATCCTAACCTACAGTAACTGTAATTTTTTGTCTGAAGAACCGATATCTGAGCTTTGCTTGTTTCCGCGTTTTTCAGGTCAGCTGCGAATAGCGCCCGGTGAAAGCTTAACAAGAACTAAGGAATGTGCCGCGCGCTTTGTGTTTTATGGTCCGCCCTAAACCTTCATTTCCACCTACTTTTGTTCTAGGATAAATCAGTGTCAGGCTGTAGAATTGTAGTGAGATCGTTCGCCGGAGATCAAAAAGAAAACCAAGAATGTATAAACACGGTGATGGAAAACCAGAGATCAATCAAGAAAGTCAAATATTAATCCTAGATATTCAAATTCCGAGTCCATTGCTAAATCTTCACTTGAGGCAATTGACGAAATCATGATTGTTCTTCGCTCACATCATTCGAGTTCCTGAGATGATTGTTAGCAAAATTAAGTTCAGTCGAATGCAAACACGGTGAAGGAAAACACCGGAAACACCAGGGGAGTACACTCACTTGGGGGACTGTGAGTCGATCTGCATTGTGACTGGTCCGTCATTCACCAAATTAACCTTCATCATTGCTCCAAACACACCATCTGCACATCCAATCAAAGAAACAAAAGAGATCAACAAATCGAACACATTCAAAAAGAAAGAGCCAAAACTCGAAAATTCTGAACCAAAGATAACAGAACGCAGCGAGAACTCTCAATCCGTTAAGCGAGATCAAGCCGTTTATTTGACAATGTATGCAATACATCAAACGTACAGCAGAACTTTCGAGTTACGAGACATCACCTTTGACTGCATCAGGTTTGTAGGAATTTCTGAAGCTCTCAACCACAGAAGCATGAAAGGGCTTCGCTTTCTGAGGCGGCATCGCCACATGAAAATCCGGCTTGTTGCCCTTCAAGATTCCGTACAATGTAAACTGACTCACTGTCACATTCTCACTGCAGCATTAGAGTTCACAAGTACACATATATGGATAACATATGACCGTTTGGTCCAGCATTGCTCAATTTTCACTAAGCCTACTAAGCCAACAGGGCTCCCTGCTTTGCAATGGTCGGGGAATGTCTATTGTACGTAGTCTTACCCTTGTTTTGCAAATACGTTATTTTCACGACTCGAACCCAGTAACCTTTCGGTCACAAAGGAGCAACCTTTCATTGCGCCAAGGCTCGCCCTCACGAAAATAATTGATTGAAAAATAGTAATTTATATGTTTCTAAAAAAAAACATTTAGCTGAATTACCAAGTAGGACTTCATAATTTCTCTGCATTACCTGAAAACGTAAATAAGAAGTAAAGTAAATAAATAAAAAGCAGCATAGAAACCGTTAATTCAGTTAAATTCATGAAAAAAGAGGGAAATTACGTTTTGGTCCCATCCTCTGCCGGTGCTTTCATTTGGGAACAACCTCATATTCAAGACCTTCCGGCATCTGAAAATTTTTCACTAATTAGTATTCTAATAAAATAAAATAAATAAAAATTGAGAGAAAAATTAATTTAGCAGCGAGTACGGACATGTAGTCGGCGTCGGAGGTGGAATCGGAGTCATGGAGGCCGACAAGGACGAGGAGGCCCGGCCCAATCTCCGACACGATGCGCCCTTCCACCTGCAATTTGCTATCTTACGCAGTTGAGGCGTCGGATAATAAATAATATACAGTATACCAGATCGAAATTAGGGGTGAATGTGGATGTGGGGAGTGTGGACTCACTGACCTCGACGCTGGCGGAGGCGACGCGCTGGACGACGGCTCTCATGGCTTTGATTGGTTTAGGGTTGGATCGGGGGCGAAAGTTGTGGGATTGGTGCGCGTGCTTGCAATAGTGAGGCACTGGCAGCGGCAGGCAGTACATGTTTCTGCTTTTTTGTTTTAGGTCTCTTTTTTTTTTTTTTTTTTTTTGAATTTTTATTCGTGTAATAATAGTCTGCAATAGGTTTAAGCGATCCTTTAGACCTTCCACAGTAGGTCCGGAAAAGTGAGCGTGGTCTCAATATATTGAGCTCGTATAGGAGTGTAATTTTCACGGTAGGCAAGAAAATTTGAGTGTGATGGAATGCATTTTCACAGGTATGTTTAGTTCACCGTGTCTCTCTATAAGATAATTATTACGAGTGTTGTGTGGGTTAGAACTTAACCAACAAGAAATTTCGCTACCTTAGGACCGTTATAGTTACTGCCGCCTTCACCGAGGCTTCGGTTGCCGGCTCCCCTGTCAATATGTCACCAACTTCCTTGACCTTCTGGCACTAGGCAGGTGTCAAGCCCCGTACATGGTTTAATACCAATTTATGAGTTTAATATATTAAACTCACGAGTGTAATACTTATAAATTAGTAGGCTCTAAAGTATAACTCTCGATAGTATTGAACTCACACTATTGTCACAATAGCATTATTAGTATCAATTCCAGACTGTCTAATTTTTGTATAGGTATCACATTCACTCATATTACTGTGAAATGCCGAGGGATAAACTTGAAGTAGAAATAGCAATTGTATTTAAAAGAAAACTCCAATAGATTTCTTTATAACAACTTAGCACGAGTAGTTGTTATAGAGTGGCTTTTTGTTGTATTGATCCTAAGCTCAAGCTACACTGCTAATCTTTCTTCAATGCTTACCATCAAACGGATAGAACCAAACGTAATAGACATCGAAATGCTGAAGAGAACCGATGCAAGAGTTGGGTCAACTGCAGATTCACTTGTCAGGAACTACATGCTTAATGTTATTGGATTCAGAAACGCAAACATCATAGAAATAGACCCCCAACACAACGTGGACGATTTCAAGAGCAAAAGTTTATCTGCTGTCTTTCTTGAACTCCCATTTGCAGAAGTACTCATCAAACAGAACTGTAAGGGATACATTAGAACTGCGCCAACCTACAGATTCGGAGGTTTCACCTTTGTAAGTAGTGAATACATTGCATACAGCACATCTTCTTACTATTCAACATTAGGGAAACGGTTTCTGCACACCGTTGTTTGTTTTTGCCAACTTATTCTCCTTTGGTTTATTCAATCCAAAGAACAATAAATTACCATATAATGGTGTGCTGAAATCACTTCCCTCAACATAAGTAGTTCTACGAAACTAACAGAATTGATTTCGTGTTTATCATGCAGGCATTCCAGAAAGGCTCCCCAATAGCGAGGGATTTCACTAGGGTCATTCTAAAGCTATTGGAACATGGAGAACTGAAGGAGCTACAACATAAGTGGTTGGCTCCAAAGGAAGAAGAGTGTTCAAGAAATGCGACTTCAGATATACCGGAAAGCTTGAACCTCAAGAATTTCTCCGGCCTCTATATTATTACCGGCGTTACTTCCACATTTTGTTTCCTAATCTCTCTTGTTATCTTGCTGAGGAAGTTTGGAGACCGAAAAATGGAGCAGGGCAATGCAAGTCCGAGTCCAAGTGACGAAAGTATTTGGAAGAGAACAGTTAGAATAACAGGATATATTAAACGAAGTCTTTTTCCCCCAAAGGAGTTTCCACCTTTCCCTAATGTAGAAGAATGGAGTTCTCCGTTTAAGGTGGAACAACACGGTCGCTTCCAACATTCCTGATCATCCCCAGGCCTTGATGTCGCCGCGGGAAATTGAATGCGTGACGCCGCCGGAAACTGAAGGCATTTCAGAAGAACCTATAGAACGAAGGCAATAGTACATATTACTGCATGTTAATAGCTTGCCCATTGTATTATTTCCTTTTCTTTTTTTTTTCTTTTTTTGATCCAAGTATTGTTTCATTTCTTAATTCCCAGGAAATGTGAGCTTCTAAGTGCTTCTCTTTCGTTGTAATATAAAATTTTCACCACTTCAAATGACAAAAATGTTATTTATAGTTTTAGCCATTTGAGTAATTTTACTCAAAGATTGCTCTCTAGTTTTGACGAACATTAAATATTAGCTTTTTTTTTTTTTTTTTTAGAGAGAACAAGAATTTGACTGACGTCATTCTTTTTTAGGTTGGTTACGATTTATAAGATCAAATGTGACTCAAATATAATTAGTCTAGTCTTGAGAGTTTTTTTGAGAAAATATGAGTGAATTTTAGATAAAATTTATCTGATCACATGACACATTCAAGTACTTAATATGTTAGACAAATAAGGAATATGGTTGGAGTCCTTGTGTAATTGTATATAATATTATTATTGGAAGAATAAGTCGTCCTACAGCCGTCCTACCTTGTCCTACCTACACACTAGCCGTCCTACAGCCGTCAAGCCGTCCTACAGCCGTCCTACCTTGTCCTACCTACACACTAGGACGGCTACCTTGTCCTACCTACACATTTGTATCATGTATATATATCCTTGTAATCTTGTAGAGAAAGATAATGAAAAAATAAGCATTCTCTTCCATTTGCATTCTCTTCCATAAGCATTCTCTTCCATTTGCATTCTCTTTCATTTTTCCACATTCATGTATCAATAACAAATATAATTTTTAGCCTACATACCTTTTTCTACATGGTATACAGAGCAGGTTTATAACCCTAGCCCTAATTTTTTTTTCGGCAGCTTTCTCTGCCGTTCCCATGGCTGTTCGTGGCCCGTCCCGTCCCTCCTCTGCTCGTCCTCCCCTCCACTGCACCTACTGCAATTTTGATTATCATACCCGAGACACCTGCCATAAACTTCATGGCTATCCCGTTGGCCATCCCCTCCATGGCCAACCGTGGCGACCACCGCGCCGTGCCACTGCTTCCAGTTCTTCCCGCAGCCATGCACCTTCCAGTCCTCCCCAGCAGCCACGGTTTTCTGCTTCCCGGCCCCATAATTTCACCAGGCACATCACGTGCAAGGCACCCAGGCCCCCGCCTCCTCTTGTACTCCAGCGACCCACCAAGTGCACGGGACCCAGCCCACTTTGCATGACTTGCAGCTTGCCATGCCTGACCTCTCTGCCGAGCAGCACTCCCGTGTTCTAGCTGCTCTACGTGACACCACCACCCCTCCTCAGGTCAATGCCGTGCTTACTACTGATTTTGCCCAAGGTTTGTTACCTGTCACCTCTCGTCATGGTCAATGGATTCTTGACAGTGGTACTACGGATCATATTACTTCTTCCGCTTCATGTTTGGTTAATCGTTCTCCTTCACATTTGCCGCCTGTTTCTTTGCCTAGTGGTGCTTCCGCTCCCATTACTTTTACCGGCACTCTTCCTTTAAATTCCTCAGTTACTTTGAAGGATGTTTTATGTGTCCCTAATTTCCGAGTGGACCTTTTATCGGTTGGTAAACTTACAGATGGATTATCGTGTTCCATAACCTTCTTTCCTTCTTGGTGTGTTTTGCAGGACTTGGTTTCGAATGCGATGATTGGTGTGGGTAAGCGACGTGGCGATCTGTATTACCTTGTGGCCCTTACCTCTTCTCTCCCCACCCGTCAACCTCTCTGCAACATCATTACCATCCCCTCCTCCCTCTGGCATAGACGTCTTGGTCACCCCTCCTCCACTCGTTTGCAAGCTTTATCATCTAGCTCTCTTAATTGCACTTTTGATTCTAGTCATATTTGTGATGTTTGTCCGTTGGCAAAACAAACTCGTCAACCTTTTCCTTTGAGTTCAATTTCATCAACTTTCCCTTTTGCTTTAATTCATTGTGATATTTGGGGCCCGAATCGTCAATCTTCTCTTTCTGGAGCTAATTATTTCTTAACCATTGTGGATGATTTTTCTCGCTTTACGTGGATCTTCCTCATGAAACATAAATCCGACACTCAACAATTAATTAAGGATTTTTTTGCTTATGTCACTACCCAATTTCGCACTACCATCCAATGCATTCGTACTGACAATGGTGGTGAATTTTTATCTCTTCGTAGTTTTTTCTCTGATCATGGGGTGCTTTTACAAACTTCTTGTGTTTATACCCCCCAACAAAATGGCGTTGTTGAAAGAAAACATCGTCATCTTCTTGAAACCGCTCGCGCCCTTCGTTTTCAATCCCATCTTCCTATCAAGTTTTGAGGGGAATGTGTTCTTACCGCTACTTATCTCATCAATCGTCTCCCTACCCGTCTTCTCCATCATAAATCCCCATTTGAGGTTCTCTTTTCGAAAACCCCATCTTATGACCACTTCCGCGTCTTTGGTTGTCTGGCATATGCCACCTTTGTCACTCCCACCACCAAATTTCCCCTCGGGCTCATCGTTGCATTTTTCTCGGTTATCCTCATAGACAAAAGGCCTATACCCTTTACGATCTCGACAATCACCGCATTTTCACTAGTCGAGACGTCATCTTTCACGAAAGTACTTTCCCTTATGCCGTTTCTCACCCTCCTATCCCATCCTCTTCGCCTACCCTACCCATCCCACCCCCTCTGGACTTTACATATAACCCACCCCTTCCTGCCCCGACGCCTCACCCTCCTCCACCTTCCTCCCCTTCCACGCCTCCCACAGATTCCCTTGCTGCCCCATTACCCGTTCCTCCCCATGCCCCTGCCCTCTCGGCATCCCCTCCTTCCCCCCCCCCCCGCTACTTCCTTACCTTTCACCCTTTTACCCACGGACATCCCTACCCCCCCACTACCTACCAATCATCCCCTTTCCCGCACCTCTTCCCGTGCCCATAAACCTCCATCCTATTTAAAAGACTACGTTTGCTCGCAGGTGATTCTGCCATCCCACCCATCTTCGACTTCGCAACCCGGTTCTACACAAGGTACGCGATATCCACTTTGTAATTTTCTCTCTTATCACCGTTACTCTCCTAGGCATTTTTCTTACATTAACTCTGTCAATCGGACTATGGAGCCTTCCTCCTTTGCCGAGGCTACCACTGACCCCAATTGGCAACGTGCTATGACTGAGGAGCTTCAAGTTTTTCATGCTAATGGTACTTGGACTTTAACTTCCTTGTCCCCTGGCAAAATTCCCATTGGTTGTAAGTGGGTGTACAAACTCAAGCACAATTTCGACGGCTCTATTGACCGCTACAAAGCTCGTTTGGTTGCTAAAGGCTTCACTCAGGCTGAAGGTATTGATTATCATGACACTTTTTCTCCTACTGCTAAGATGATTACGGTGCGTTGTCTTCTTGCTCTTGCTGCTAGTCAGTCTTGGTCTCTTCATCAGCTTGATGTTAATAATGCTTTCTTACATGGTGACTTACATGAAGAAATCTATATGTCTCCTCCTCCTGGTCTTCGGCGACAGGGGGAGAATCTTGTGTGTCGCCTTCACAAGTCACTTTATGGTCTTAAGCAGGCTTCTCGCCAATGGTTTGCCAAATTCACTAGTGCCATCATTTCTGCCGGTTTTCAACAATCCAAAGCTGACTATTCATTGTTCACTAAAAAGTCTGGTATTTCTTTCACAGCTTTGCTCATTTATGTGGATGATATTGTGATTACAGGCAATGATGCTAGTGCCATTAATTCTCTGAAGTCTTTTCTCCGTGATCATTTTCGGATAAAAGACCTTGGTGATTTAAAATATTTTTTGGGTATTGAGGTTTCTCGTTCCAAACAAGGGATTTATATTTCTCAACGCAAGTATGCATTAGATATTCTCAAGGACTATGGTTTTTTGGGAGCACGACCCATTGCTTTTCCTATGGATGACACAAAATTATCTGATAAAGGAGAACTTCTCAAGGATTCTGAAAAGTATCGACGATTAGTAGGTCGGTTAATATATCTCACTATCACTCGGCCGGATATCACCTATTCTGTGCATGTTCTAAGCCGTTTTATGCACGAGCCAAGGATATCTCATATGGATGCTGCGCTTCGTATTGTTCGTTATTTGAAGGCTACTCCAGGTCAAGGTTTATTATTTCGTTCTGACAACCAGACCAAGTTAACTGCGTTTTGTGATTCTGATTGGGCAGGTTGCCCTATCACTCGCCGTTCGACTACTGGGTATTGTGTATTCTTGGGCGGTTCTTTGATTTCTTAGCGGACGAAACGACAGAAAATCGTTTCGCTCTCTTCAGCAGAGGCGGAATATAGGGCCATGGCAGGTGCTTGTTGCGAGATAGTTTGGCTTCGTTTTTTGTTGAAGGATTTGAACATTCCTTTGGATGGTCCTTCCATTTTATTTTGTGATAATCAAGCAGCGTTACATATAGCTGCCAATCCTGTTTTTCATGAACGAACTCGTCACATTGAGATGGATTGTCACTTTATACGAGATAAGATTGTAGATGGCACAATAGAGACCAAGCATGTGGGTACGGCACAACAGTTGGCAGACTTGTTTACCAAACCTCTTGGGAAAGAAAAGTTTTCGGGTATGTTACGCAAGTTGGGAGTTCTTGACATCCACTCTCCAACTTGAGGGGGAGTGTTAGACAAATAAGGAATATGGTTGGAGTCCTTGTGTAATTGTATATAATATTATTATTGGAAGAATAAGCCGTCCTACAGCCGTCAATCCGTCCTACAGCCGTCCTACCTTGTCCTACCTACACACTAGCCGTCCTACAGCCGTCAAGCCGTCCTACAGCCGTCAAGCCGTCCTACAGCCGTCCTACCTTGTCCTACCTACACACTAGGACGGCTACCTTGTCCTCTATAGCCGTCCTACCTTGTCCTACCTACACACTAGGACGGCTACCTTGTCCTACCTACACATTTGTATCATGTATATATATCCTTGTAATCTTGTAGAGAAAGATAATGAAAAAATAAGCATTCTCTTCCATAAGCATTCTCTTCCATTTGCATTCTCTTTCATTTTTCCACATTCATGTATCAATAACAAATATAATTTTTAGCCTACATACCTTTTTCTACATAATATGAACAAACATATCAACATATTATCGACTATCCACTTATTATTTCTATTATTGATACTATCCATACTTCAAGTATAAAGTCCTCAAAATGCCAGTAGAAGTCTAAGAAGTAGATGACGATGTGTTAACTTCATTAGATAGTCAACAAGACACGTGGCAATTGCTTGAGCTTACTTGGGCGGAAGAGGATTCTCTTCGGATCTATTTTGTAGGAATCTTAGGAATTTCCACGTTTTAACCGTTTATCGTATATCGTACAATCATTTTACGTCAGGTACTATTTATGTTTAATTTTAAATAAAAAAATTAAATTACTTCTAACCGCATGATGCACGATGAATTAGTAAGATGTAAAGACCTCTATGATCTCCACCATTTGAATCGGGGATGAGATCCAACTCCTACCTGGGCTTACGCATCGAAACCTGTCGGCCCATCCACCGCCACTTCGTTCAGCTTCGACTCTTATTTGTATTTCTCGTCCCGACGAAGGTGTTTGATAAAAGTCCTGGATGTTTCTAGCTCTCCAGCAGCAATCACAATCCAAATTAGCTCTTTACTCCGAAGTCCGAGCACTTGAAAATCTTCTAAAATGCGAAGAGCTTCCAGGATCTTTACGCTTCCAGCTTCAAACCTCATCGGCCATTCTTCTTCTTCTGCTGGCGCTGTGCACAAACACTCCTTCACAACTCTGACCCTGCAACAAAATCGCCAAAACCCACAACAGCAATCGTTTCCGGGAGGATTTCTGAAATGGGGTTCGCTGGGTTTCTTCAGGGCTTCGAGTTTTGCTAATGGGTTCAATCCCTTGAAGGCTAAGCCGTTGGATTCCATTATTGATGTCGAGAGGGTGAAAGATCGCTCGGCCGAGGACATCGCTTCGGCTTGGGACGATGTAAGCCTCTCAGTTTCCTTGCTTTTCTGTGCCTCCAAATGTTACATTTTACTGTACAAGTTTAGTTTATCTGTGGTTTTTTGAACTGGGTTTTGCCTTCTTTTTCTTAATTTGATTGATTTGCTTTTCTTTCGATTAATTAGATTGTTGCAGAAGCTTGTTTCATTTGCTATAATATTCTATAATTTGATCGAATTGGTAAAAAAAGATAAGACTTTAAGCTTCTCAGTACTTGTAGCTGTAGAATTTCTTGCTTTGTCATAGCTTTAAAGTTTCGTTCTTGAAGATTTCAAGCTCACATTTTTGTTACTGTTTTTATTTTTTTTGGGATAATGTGATATTATTCTGAACTACTCTAACTTACCGGAGGAGGATTCGAACACGGGTGCAAGGAGATTCGAGCCACTACATTGTATCTATCTTGTCCCTTAATATGAATTGGCTGTGTGTTAAATCTAAGCTGTCTGCTGCTTGAGGCCACAGTGTTAAAGTCTTTTTCTAAACTGATTTTCATGATATCCTCATGAGCTAAAATTTACGCTTATCATGCATCATGTGCATTTGCGATTGATCTTGCTTATCATTTCTTTAGTGTCTCACTAGATGTGGCTTCCGTTGCAAGATTGTTTTCTAGTATCATTTATGTTTAGACGGGTTGTCTTTTATAGTTTCACCTAGGAAGAGGTCATATCGGTGCATCCATGAATGCAAAACTATATCACCTGTTGGAGCATAGAGCGGCAGATTGGTAATCAGTTTACGTAATGATTGTCTTCCTTTGCTTTCTTTCATCTTTCCGTTGTTTTAACTTTCAACTTGTTTATCATGGCAGCCGGTATTTTGTCATTCCCTTGTGGAGAGGAAATGGTTATACCACAATGTTTGCTCAAGGTTTGGCCTCTAGCCATTCTATTTACCACTCTTTCTAGTGATCACTTTAGCATGTCTTACATTCGCTACCAAACATTGTAAATGTTATGTAGAAGCAACAACGCGCCAGTATAGGACTACTTAACTTGCTTTTGTTAGTTTATGTCATTAATATGTCAAGAGTTATCTATGCCCATAGTTGATGTTGTCATTGCTCAATGCTGAGTGGCAACATCAAAGAAGAGCATAGGTGGGACCTCTCGAGACGAGTGACATTTTGCAATCTTGCATATCAGTAGAGAACTTGCTCATTAGATTATAAAATTAAAGAGTTTGAAGAAACTTTTTTCCAATTAAAATAACTAAACAGTTGGATAATGCCTTGTCGTATCAAGTTTTGATTCAAAACTCTCTTGCAGTACAGATGCCACACATGATTTTCACTGGTCTTGAAGATTACAAGGCGAGGGGAACTCAAGCTTCTCCCTACTTCGCTGTAACTTTCTACAACGAATTTGCAGAAAGCAAGGACATGGTGCTTATTCGAGGGGATGTCGTACTCCCCAGCAAACTCACTGACTCGGAGGCAAAATGGCTTGTGGAGACCACCCAATCATTTTATTTGAACGACATGAGGTATAAGCTGGTTGAACGGTTCAACAAACAAACACACGATTTTGAGTTCAAGGATGTCTTGCAAGCATTAGAAATGCCGATTCTGTGATTTCTCCTACGGAAAGAAATTTGTCTTACTAGCAGTGATAGAAGGAGCTTTGTCAATAAAGGAGGATTAATTTGATTTTTGCAAAAGGGTGTTGTACTTGTGAGAAATCCCCATAGGGGATACCATGTTTCATACTGATTTGTGCCTTGAATTTTGTGAGAATTGTTTTAACAAAGCCTAGTATTGAAGTTCACGTAAATTGTCATGATTATACATGGTGGATAAATTTGTCCAAAAAAAAATACATGGTGGAGAAACTTGGAGCAATAATTTCTTAACTTTGGCCTAATCGGAGCGTTGGTCCATGAACTAAAAATTCGTAAGTATTGGTTTCTGAACTTGTTATAATGTGGGGCAATGGTCATTTTGTCAACTTTATTAGAATTTTCATCCATTTTTTGTTCCTTTAAATCTTTTATTTTGGATGAAAGTTCTACGAAGTTAGCCAAAAAAACCATTGCTCTGCATTATAATAAGTTTAGAGGCCAATATTCATGGATTTTTAGTTCAGATACCAAAACTCGATTTGAGCTACAGTTCAAGGATGATTGCTCAAATTACCTCTTCATGGTGTTAGTCAAAAGAGGTTGATTTTCGCACAAAAATAAACTTTAGCTCAAATCTAAGGGCCAAAAATAGAAAGGGGCGTGCAGAAGGGAAAGAGATGTGCAAAAGTTTTTTTCCTGATCAAAACTATCTCATTTACATATTGTATGAAACAAATTGTAGTGAATCATGCAATTAACAAAGTTCAATAGCCATGTTGATTAGATGAGGAAAATAAACTTAATATTTGAACGGACTCAATTTCTCAAAAACTTCATATACAAGTTTTCAACTCGTTTGCAAGAAAACGGACATGCTGTAAGAGCATCTTTAGATGTTCATTCGTTAGGAGTAAGACGGTGCGTTTTGAGCATTAGGAGAAACGCTGTTTTTTGCTTTCTCGGTGAGAAGCCCAAAAGGGCCCGACGAGACGTCGTCGTATGACTACAAAGTAAACGGCATAGAGGGGAAGCTCGGCCCCCGTCTTTTTCCCTTCCCCATCAAACCCTCTCTTCGTCGTTCGTCTTCTTCTTCGTTTTCTTCTTCTTCTTCTTCGGTCACTCTCTCTCTCTACTTTCTCTCTCTACACTCCAGAGCCAAAAACCAGTAAGCTCTCTTTCGAATTCCAAAATAATAACTATGAAATTTCGAATACCTTTGCGTAATATAATAATAGTTCAATTTTTTGTTCCAAATTTCGCCTCAGCTTCTTCAGAGAGCCAGAAGAGCAGCTTCAATGGCTGACCCCTCCGACGAGGCCAATCACATCGAGAAGCTTTACGAGTTCGGCGAACGACTGAACGAGTCCAAGGAGAAGTCCCAGGTGCCCCACGCCCCGCCAATTTCCTTCCAGCATCCTTTCATATTTTATACTTTTTGAAATTTTGGTTTCTAGGGTTTTAATGTTTTGCGATTTTTGTTTGTTTGTTTGTAATTCAGAATGTTAAGGATTACCAGGGGATTATCAATGCGGCCAAGACCAGTGTCAAGGCCAAGCAGCTGGCTGCCCAGCTTATTCCGAGGTTCTTCAAGTTCTTCCCCGAACTTTCGCAGCCCGCCATCGATACGCACCTCGATTTGATTGAAGAAGAAGAGCTCGGGGTTAGTTCATATCTGTATACCCAGTCGTGATTACTTGCACTCATTGCATTTTTTGATGCCCTAGCTATATTTGGTAACTGGAGAATTGTTGAGTTTTTATTTATTTATGGAAGAGTTAGATCCCTGTCGAAAAAGTTTATGTCTTGAATTAGTTTGTTGTGACATTTGAAGCAATTTATAACATGCCTTTGCATGTTATTCTTATTTGGGGTCTTGCTGGTTTTAATATTCAGTTCAACTATTTAGTTCGGATCATCAATGTAATGTGCAGGTACGAGTACAAGCTATTCGGGGCCTTCCCTTGTTCTGCAAGGATACGCCTGAACATATTGCGAAAATTGTAGACATTCTTGTGCAGCTCCTTGCATCTGGTAATTTTTTTTGTTTCCATTCTTTGTTGGGAATTGTGATTCTGGGAGTATGGTGGTTGTGTTATACGAGTGATGTTGGCCTTTGTTGATGCTTTTTAGAGGAATTTGTGGAGCGTGATGCTGTGCATAAAGCACTTATGGCTCTTTTGAGGCAAGATGTTAAAGGTATATTTGTGATCTTCAAACTAACTGATGGTGAATCATCATAGATTATACGTTTAGTACAAATTAACTGTTAGGGCATGATTACAAATTAACTGATGTATGATTACATCAGATTTTAAGTTGGCATTTTTATTTATAAGTAAATATGTTTATGTGTACAAATGTACACATTTTATGCAGATTTATGTGTTTTTACTAGCCTTAAGTTCAACACCTGATACATCTTGGATCATTGAAATCTATCTCTTTCATAAAGTATTTCATCTTCTTCTATGCACAGCTTCTTTGACAGCATTATTCAAGCACATTGGGAGTGTTGATGAACCAAGCACAGATGAGTTCATTCGGGAGAAGGTTTTAAGCTTCATTAGAGATAAGGTGAGAAGACCACTTTGTCGAATGTCCAATACGATTATTATCATGTATCTCTTAAGATAACTGGATGTTGAATGATCAAAATTGTAGGTATTTCCTATTAAAGCTGAGCTTTTGAAGCCTCAGGAAGAGATGGAAAGGCATATTACTGATTTGGTAAAAAAGGTATGTACATGAATGCTGTGCCAATTGTCTTCATGCGCATGTTTATTTAGAGTCTTGGAACTGTGTACTTAAGTTCCTATGAATGTATTATTTTGAAGTGTGGCATGATGCTCTGTCGCATCTATTTAGTAAATTTATAGGCTGTTCTCTTCCCCTCATGTTACCTTTAGTTAAAAGAAAAACCATGGGCATTTATAATTATTATCTCTTCAATTTTATTTTACTTTTCTGTTGAAAGGTTGTATATGACTTATACAATTGAGTTCAATTGCAGAGTCTGGAAGATGTGACTGGTGCCGAGTTTAGAATGTTTATGGACTTCTTAAAAAGTTTGAGCATATTTGGGGAGAAAGCGCCTGCTGAACGCATGAAAGAACTTATTGGAATTATTGAAGGACAAGCTGATTTAGATGCCCAATTCAATGTAAGCACTTGTTTTATTGTGTTGATTTAAGGGTAAAGAATAGAAGCTTCTGACCAAGCTGAATATACAAAATGTACTCACGATGAGTAATGCAGAAATAAGCGTTTTTGATATTGCTCTGTTATTTCATAAGATGCTTGCATTTATTTTATCATCATTATATCTGATGCATTGACTTTGTGTTTTGATTACTATTTTATGATTGTATCATACCTGAACCAATATCAACCCATGAGTGTTGAATATATATATATGAGTATATACTGTATAGTAATGTTGATGATTACTTTTTTCCGGCTTGGTTTAGCTCCTTGGAAGTTTTTTTTTTTGGTTGCTAATTTTATTTATTCTTGGGTGACATCGTATGGAATTAATCTTCTGTTAAAGAATTTGGCCAAGCTAAGATGAGGCTCTTCATTTGTTGTGCTTAGCGTAGTCATTTGATTCAATGTGTATGTAGTTCTTATTCTTGAGACTTCTTACCAGCTTTCTCATCATAATATTGACTGCATGCTCAAGATTTGTTAAGTGATAAGTTTGTGTACTTTTCCCTTTTTCATTGGGATGAGCAACAAATCTGTCAATGGTAAACAGGCGAAGCTTTACTTAGTTATCTAGTATTCATAGGATCCCATTAGACCTGTAATCAAACCAGTAGATTAACAGGTGGTTTTTGGGGCTGGGGTAGTCTACTAGTATTTGTTTTTCAAGATATATAGATTCATCGGAAGCTTGATATCTATCAGTTTCTTAAAGTATCAGGTATCTATAACCATGCATGTTGTAGGCTTGAAAGTTTGAGTTAGAATATTATTTCAAATTATAATGACCACCAGTGTCTTGTTAACGTAAGCCACCCTTAGATATGATATTGTCCATTTAGGCTAGAAGGAAACAAAAGTGACGCTGTTGGAAAAGATGCTTCCACAATGTATATTCTGCTTCCTCTTTTAATATCAATGTATTCATTTTAATCACTATGGTTCTTTCGGTAACTTAACAACAAAATGGTTGGGATGCAGGTTTCAGATGCTGATCATATTGATAGGTTGATATCCTGCCTATTCATGGCTCTGCCATTTGTTGTGGTATGGCCTCTAATTATCATAGATTTTTCCTTGTGCTTTTGATGTGTATATTTCTGGGAATCAAGTACCAACCATGTTTATTCATATTTCATATAGAGGGGTGCGTCAAGCAGCAAATTCCTAAATTATCTGGACAAACACATCCTTCCTGTTTCGGACAAGGTAACATCATCATTTCCACTGAATTGGTATATTATCCTAGTATGCATGTCAAGTTTCTTGGTAATCTGAAGAGTTTTATTTCTATATAGTTCCATAAATTGAGCCAGTATTGGCCAAAACAAATGAAAATGTTTAGATTTTTCTTACAAACTGATATATATAATTAAACATTGGGATAGAATATTTTTCTATATATTTGTTTCCTTGATTGGTTTTTGTATGAAATGTTCCATCGGAATCTGGGATGATTTATCCTTTCTGCTATTGGTCTCCTAATCTTGTTTTATTTCTTTTTCTTGACTCAACTACTCAATTACTAAAGCAGTGTTTAGATCAAATAGTTGATGTCTTTATTTCCATATGAATCCAGAAGTTTTTCTAGGTTGTAAGTAGTCATACTTTCTTCGCACTTGTCTACATTGTTATGAGGACTCTGAGAAATGATCATTACATTCTGAAATGAAAACAAGGACAATATGGAATATAGGATTAAGTAAATAGCATGGGGAGTGCGGTACATGCAAGCCTTTTATTGATGATAAAAATAAAGTTTTAAATTCATTTCAATTTTATCTGTTTCTTTCTATGACTGTGACAATATTTATATTATGCTGTGCTTTCTTTATAGTGTTTTATTGTAATGGGAAAGATTGTCAGATTCTTATTCAAACTACGTTTTTTTTTTGTCAGCTTCCTGATGAAAGAAGGCTAGATTTGCTCAAAGCCCTTGCAGAAGTTTCACCTTTCACAGCACCACAAGATTCTCGTCAGATCCTTCCTTCTGTTGTTCAGTTGTTAAAGGTACAATTTTTTTAATCGGTAATGACATCAGTTTGTATATTCAAAATTATCGGATGATTGGACTATGTGTGTGAAGATCCGACCTTTAAAATACTCTCCACTATTGCAGTCGGTGTTTATAAATGTAAATGCCTAATGCGAGGTGTTTAAATTCTGACAAGATGAAAAACAAGCCTTTTGGGACTCAAGTTATTAATTAAAAATTATTTAAATATGTATTATTTGTATTAATTATTATTCAACAGTAATAGTCAATTTCAGACCTTGTAATATTCATTTATTACAAGGTGCATTGCTGTGAGGTGAACCTCAATTGCACCTTAAAAAACTTATTAGAATTGATGTATTCACATTCAGTGTTTGGACAGTATCAGCTTTTTTATTTGTTTCAGGTCTGGATAACAAGCCATTTTGAGTCATTTTTTTTGGTTTATTATCTTGTTGCAAGTTAACTCACATTTTTATTCTATTTTTTCCTTGCAGAAAAACATGCCTCGGAGAAAGACCGGGGATGAGTTTAACTTCACTTATGTAGAATGCTTATTGTACACGTTTCACCATCTTGCTCACAAGGTAATTTGATTTCCAGTCAACCTCCCTTGTCAATACTACTATGAATAAACATTGTTTTGTGCTTACTTGATTTCTTTACCATATAGGTTCCTAATGCTACTAACAGTCTATGCGGTTACAAGATAGTGACTGGGCAACCATCAGATAGACTTGGTGAGGACTTTTCAGAGCAATATAAGGAGTTTACTGAGAGGTTGGTCTTTCTTTTTCCCTGTTTTTCTCCTTGTATATTTTATTACTTATTCTAGTTTATAGAATGAAGTACCACATGAGTGTATATGTAGGAATCAAAATATGCCGAATAACTCATGCTCTTCTAAATCCTAGGTCTTCCTGTTCCTTCATCTGGCTTATATTATCCTCTTTTCTTGTCAATATGCATCCAATATACTTAGCCCTTAACTCCGGTTGTGAAATGGGGGTGTTTTTTCGTAAGAGAGGTTGAGGCTGGTTAAAGCTTATGCTGAGGGTAGTAGCCCCCATATCAAGGAGAAGTCTATGGCTGAAATTGAAGACTTGCAAATTACTGATATCTGATAAATTTCTCTGAAAAGTGGAGAATCAAGTGGCCACACCTCTATAAGACTATAACTGGAAATATTATGATTGACTCTGCAGGTTGAGTTACGTTGAGGAGCTAACTAGGGCCACCATGAAGAAATTAACACAGGGAATGGCTGAAAAGAACAAAGCGATGGCAGCTGCAAAATCTGACGAAGCAAAGGATACCATTGTGAGTTAATTTCATGGTCATTTCACAGTTTTGTGAACCGTTTCTGTTAGCAGTTATCTTAAACAATGATTTTATGGTGCACAGAAAACTGAAAAGCAGAATACTACAACTGGGTTGCGAACCTGCAATAACATATTGGCAATGACAAAGGTGAGGGCAACCGTTTGAGAATTTTGGATGGATGATCATTTTTTCATGATCTTTTAGAACTGATGTTTAAATGATTTGAAACAATGTAGACTCTACATTCAAAAACACCCTCATTCATTGGAGACAAGAGCATCAACCTGTCTTGGAAAGAAGCAACAAAACCCGCTGTGCCCTCTAGTACACCTGTTGCAGGGTAAGAGTAAAATTCTTGAACCTATATTTTGTTTTTTTGTGTTATACTCTCATTGGTTTGAAGAATAGTTTTTGATTTATGTGATGTCAGACTTTTGGCGTCATTAGTTCAACATACATTTTCCTCAATTGCTTGTGCAAAGAATAAAGTGCGCAGTTCATTTATTTCAATTTTGTGGCTCGGAGAAAAAAAACTCAAAACACCTAATTCTTTTAGTCACAATCTTGAATTTTAACAGACATCTATACTTGTCAATATTTTCGCACTTCCTGACCATTTGTATATCCGTAGACATCTACATTTAAAAGCTTAGTCTTTATCCATACGAGATGCACCTTGAATCTTGAAAGGAAGGTATAACATGCTGTGAAATCAACATTTTTATCCTATTGCATAGTTAAAGGATCCATTCTTATATGGTTTAAACCTACTGGTGCAGAGCAAAACGACCTGCTAATTTTTCCAATGGATCCGGAAATACGCCTTCAAAAAAGGGGCGTGGTGGCGGATTACAAAATCAGCTTGTTAATAGAGCATTTGAAGGTTTATCTCAAGGTGGAAGAAGCGGGGGAAGGAGCGGCGGTGGTGGAAGGAGCAGAGGCAGAGGGTGGGGTGGACGTGGAAGGGGAAGGGGTTACAGATAGCTGCACCGTGAGACAACTTTGGGAAATCACGATGGTGAGAGAGACATGGATGCGCCCCAGGAAAACGCAGATGAGTACGTGATGTGCTGAATTCCTCTCTATGAAACGAGTTAGAAACAAGTTTTGTTTCATCGAGCAAGCTGATTATAATGTAGATTCGTTGTTGATTAACGCTACTTATTATGTTCGTCTGGAGCTTTGTCTAACAAGAATGGGGCGACCGGATTAACGCTCTGAGTATTTCCATCTGTCGTCGAAAAAATATGCAGGGTTCCGAGACAGCTCCGGGAATCTATCCGTGCGTTGGTGAATGTATGCTTTCAGTGGATTTATAATACTGCTAGTTTGACTTTGTTTTTATCATTGAATGTTATGAATTTATAAGGACTCATACTGACTGATGGAAATTGCTTCTTTTGCCATTTTTAAGTTTTGCCAATTACCTCTTTACTTTCTCCTTATATATATAGAGGGTTCGTTTGGAAACGTTTTGAAAATAACTGGAGTTTTTTAAGAAAATAATTTTGGTTCCAAAAACATTATTAATAAAAACGTTTTCAGATATTTTAATAGCATTTTCAAATGCGTTAATAAAAGTTTGTTCAAATATGCGATATATTGTTGATTGAAATCGTTGAAGATTTAAAAGGTTGTTGCGAACTTAGGCCTACCCACGTAGGCTATGAATAGTGTGCCTCAATTTTTACAATCAAGTTTGTATTGATGTACTATCTCTTTAGTTTAAATCATGTTAAAATGTCTGATAATTTTACTATGTTTCGGAAAGGCATCATATCTGGATTTCTTTTACTAAATTCTACCAATCAATAAATTTAGACTCTTGAAATTTGATTTAACGGCTAAAGTTAATATAATTTTTAAAAAGGTTTCATTTTTTTATCTGTTTGACCAAATTTTAAAAGTTCGAATTTATTAATTAATAGGATTTGATGGAAGAGATATGAAAGAAGATTCTTTTCCCTCTTCAGCGTGTGACATCGTTGATATGCGGGGAACAAGTGGATGTGTACTATGAAATCTATAAAATACCACTTGACTATATCCTTTTGCCTCTCTAATAAATGACAAAATGGCAAAATTATCCAAAATTAATTTCCTGTTCTCTTTTTCCTATTTACAACAAAATAAAACAAAATATGCTTCGGTAGTCCCGCGCGTACGTCAACTCGTCCGTCTTATTTAACGGTTGCCAAAACCCCATGTGATTCGTCTTCAAAGTGTGTTCTTCATTACCACGATACAAAACGCTCACCAAATTTTCCGATCCCAAAAAATCCAATCTTTCAATTCGATCCCCCACACTCTAACCCTAAATTTCACTTTTCCAGATCAAATGGAAAATCCCCAATTCAATTAGCTTCGAAATTCAGTAAAATTGAAAAAAAAAAATGTTGAGCTCAAACCAATATCAACCCTCTCCCTCCGACGCCTCGTCGCCGCTTTTAGGCCACTCTATAGCGGACAACATCGTCCGGAGCCGGAGACTCATACGTCGGCCGCCGCATCCTCTCCGTGGCGCAGCTCGGTTCTTGCGACGCGCGAGCAGCCGCCGGATGATGCTGCGAGAGCCGTCGGTTAGAGTCCGTGAGGCAGCGGCGGAGCAGGTGGAGGATCGCCAGAGCGACTGGGCCTACTCGCGGCCGATTATCGTTTTGGACCTATTGTGGAACGCTGGGCTCCTGGGACTTGCCGTCGGGGTGCTGTCGCTGAGCTGGAAAGAGGAGCCTTCCGTGCCTTTGAGGACTTGGATTGGCGGGTACGCGTTTCAGTGCCTGGTGCATATGGTCTGCGTGGTCGTGGAGTGCAAGCGGAGGAGGCGCGGAGGTCAAGCGGCGGCGGGGGCGGAAGCGAGTTCTGCGTGGGAAAGTTCATCTGGGTCTGGGAGTGATGATGCTGAGGACTATGGAGTTGAGCAGAGCACAGATTACACTGCCACCAGGTTTTTCCCTTTCTCTTTTTCTCTTTTGAAATTATGAACTTTTTGGTTTTAGGGTTAATTGAGAACTTGAACTGGGGTTTTGAGTATTAACTGTTACTGTTTGTAGTACCGTAGTTGTTGCATTGTCTGTTTTTGGGTGAAAATTGTTAAATTTGGGAATTTTGGATTGGATTTTGGCCTCTAGGAAAGAACCCATTTTCCAATGGAAGAAATTGTTTTGACTGAGATTGATTGATGGTTTGATGTGGCAGTGTTGCAAAGAATTTGGAGTCTGCGAATACGGTATTTTCGTTTATCTGGTGGATTCTTGGGTTCTACTGGGTGACTGCTGGCGGTGAAAATTTGACAGAGGAATCTCCCCAGTTATACTGGTTTGTTTGAGCTAATTGTCCCTTTTTGCTTCTGTTTTCTTTCAAGTCCTTTCTGCGCATGCTGTTGACTTTGTAGGCTTATAAAATATGGGTTTCTTTTGCAGGATATGTATCACTTTTCTTGCGTTGGATGTTGTTTTTGTAGTCATCTGCGTTGTTCTTGCATCTCTCGTTGGTATTGCCGTTTGCTTCTGTCTCCCCTGCATCATTGCCATCTTGTATGTTGTGACAGATCAGGTATGTGCTTATAGGAAATGTTTGAGTTTATTCCGTACATTAAGGGTGCTTGATAATCAGTGATTTTATGATGCCACTTGAATAAATTTGTCGCTTGTCGTATGGACATAAGATCTACTTTGACTGGTGAATGTCTATTGCACAACATTACGCCTCTTATCTTCTCGAGCCTCAAGAGTCAAGGCTATATATGAGGCAAACTAAGATTATATTGTAATGTTTCTGTTGTCTGGTGCAATTGAATGCACTAAAACTTTCGGATAGGAAATTATCTCCAATCCCCACTGGGATTCTGAGTTAAGATCTAAACATGCCATGTGAAGACATTGTCTAGCAGTGATTTTCTGCTCTTGGAGATTTACAGTGCCTTTGCTTTTATTTGTCAAATTTTGACTATCATATCTTGCACAGTTTCTGTGTATGAGTTGTTATCTTGCACGGTTTCTGTGTATGAGTCGTTTACTTTTTTAGGAGAAGTATTGAATTTCATTAACAGAATCTGTGAGAACTTTATACCTTCCTTCCGCTTATATGCAGTTAAATACTGTCTGTCCTTAAACCACTTATATGCTGTTAAATACTGTCTGTCCCTAATTTCCTGGTCATTTTTTGTTTCTGGACAGGAAGGAGCAACAAAGGAAGAGATCGATCGTTTGCCAAAGTACAAGTTCCGCAAGATACCTGATTTTGACAAAGTTAATGGTGAGATCCAAGAATCTTTTGGCGGAGTAATGACTGAATGCGACACTACTACACCTACCGAAAATGTTCTCTCCCCAGAGGATGCTGTAAGTTCCATGATACATTCTTGATATCTTGTTACTAGAAAAGTCTCGTAAAATAGTTAATTGTTTTTAAATGGCATGCGGAAATAGGTTTTTGTATTACCAACTGGAATTCATACATGCACTTGTTCAGCAATTGAGCCTTTCAAGTCATGTGTATGAAGTCTGGGACACCAGATCCGGGGTTTCAGTTTCTCATTGCCAAATTAACCCTACACCAAATCACCAAGTGTGCTTATTACGTTATTTGTGTTAATCTTAGGAATGTTGCATCTGCCTTTGTGCCTACGAAGATGGAATTGAACTGCGTGAACTTCCTTGCTGTCACCACTTTCACTGCACCTGCATAGACAAATGGTTACAGATCAATGCCACCTGCCCACTCTGCAAGTTCAACATTTTGAAGTCCGTTAGCCAAAGCAGTAGCGAAGAAGTATAAAAGTTAGTTCTGTATAACAGTTATGAGGAGATTGCATGCCCTGCTCCTATGTGTATAGACCATGAAAGATTTCACCGTCTGCCGGAATCCGGATGCAACTTCACGGTCGGGTTTGTTGCGGGAGCATCTTCACCTCCAAGAATGTTAGTTTGTATAATGAAAGTCATTTGTGTGATATCTTATAAACAAAATGTTTAATATGTAGTAGTCCTACCTTTTTTGACATAAATTACAAAATAGTATTTAACAAGGATATTCTCGTCTTTTGGCTGTAAAGTTCACGTGTCAGGTCTAGAATTTTTTAAATTATTTTTTGCTTCATAATTACCCCCAAAGGATTTATGGTGAGGATATAACCCAATTCAAAATTGTCTGCAAAATTGTGTCTTTACAAGTTTAATTCTTTTGGAAGAGGATCATCTCCAAATCTACTTTGTGAGAATTCTAGGGGTCTCCACATCTTAATTGTTTATTGTACATCGTGTGAATAGTTTTAGTCAGATATTATTTATATTTAATTTTAAATAAAAAAATCAAATGATTTCCGACTGATGTGAGGATCTTTGGAATCCCTATAATTTGGGTCCGGATGTGATCCAAAGGGAATTCTTTCTTCCACAAAAGAAGTCATCCTTGACGACATCCCATTCCTTCCTTCCCCATCGAACTGCCTCTCATCGCGGCTTCGCCATTGGAGGAGGGTTCTTGGTAAGCCATCGAATTGCACACGAACTCAGGGATGATGGAGTTAATTTAGCTTTTCGGTTTGCTTGCTTATTGATCAAAACCAACTTTACACGACACCGCATCACACATGCTGACATCTGTAATTTTCCTATGTAGAGTCAACGGTCCAAGTTTGGTATTAAATGATTTAGACCCCAAAGTTTGTATATAATGACTATTCAACGCTTGACCATGTGGACATGTGGTTCTTGTTGCAGCATTAGGTTGACAGAAAGATATCATTCATGCATATGCTTTTTCTGTTTTGAAAAGGGGCTAGTGGGTGGCTGTGCTATTGTAATTTACCTTTTTATACTCAAGAGGCATTTTAATTTTTTGATGACTATACTATCGTGTAATTCATCAGCGTTAATAATCGAATCTAAAATGTGTCGTATGAAATAAGAGCTTAAAATTCGTTCCCAAGTACTACGCAGGTTCCACTAGTTCTCGGGAATAAGTGAAAGTAATTTAAAATATCACAGTGTTAACAGAAAAAGAAGACTATTGTAGTCATTGATTATCTTTAGATTAGTCCAGTTCTCGTTATATGCATGGATACAAGGATCCTCGTACTGATGAAGAAATAAAAAAAATAGAAACAAGCTGTTTTTTCACCAAAATTCAACCCCACCTGTACCACTCTGCAGCTCACGTTTGGATCGTTAACCATGTTTTTTAAATTAAAAGTTGGCATTGAAAAAGGATTTAACTTCACTACTGCTTACACCCAATCCTGACTGGACACGTATCGGAGTTTTGATTAAAAAAAATCAAAATTTAGACATATGTTCACCCGGAATTGGGTGTAAGCAACAACTGCTGCTGAATTTGCAGTAGCCAAATCCAATTCATTAAAAATCTAATTTGATTCACCAACTCAGATTCCGTAGATAGTTAGGATAATGAAAGAGGCCTACGAATACTAAAGCTCTATGATGAATCTTCGTATGAATCTCTTCGGGCTAATACTTGTTATGCTTGTCATCAATATAAAATCTTTAGTTACCACGTGATCATTTTAAATGATATAAGAGTCATAAGACGATACATATTTTAAACTATTCTAATTTATTAGAAATAAAATCTTGATATTTGAGAGATTGACCTAACTTGTATACGCATAATACAATAGACTAGTCAACGTATCCGTTAACGTGTGCATTTATATTTAGAGACTTTCATTACTTATATCCAAAACTATGCAATAATTAATGTCATTGTGGAGCAAGTATAGAAGAATATGTTTGGTCAAGTTGTTTAAAAAAATCCAAATAGGTAGGTAGCTGTTTCTGTAAAACTGCCGCATTCTATGAATTTAATAACTTTTGTTCTTACTTGTAAATTTAGAGGAAGGAAAGGATGGATTTTGCTTATGTCAGACAACTTGCTTGATTTTTTTGCCCATTTTGTCTGATGCCACAACTTGCACGGTATCGCTCTCCATATAAACCTAATCAAGTACCAAGTTTCCTCATTCACATATTTTCATTACAAAGCTAAGTGTCTCTGGATATGTCAAGACCAGCTTTGTTCATTATATTTCTGGTCCTCCAACTGGTCCATTTAGGAAGCGGCCGGATTGTTAGAGACTCCGGTCTTGTATCATATGGAATAAACGACGTAATAAGCCAATCATCGATCCTCGAAGCACTGAATCTTAAAGCAGATTATGTGACTTGTGAAGCAACGTATGGATTCTTGCCTTGTGCAACTTCAGTTTGGGGGCTTCTTTTTCTGGTTATCGTCTACGAGGTCTTGCTCTCCCTTGCAGATCATTATGTTTCAAGAGGATCTGGTATCTTCTTTGAATTGTTTGGGACTGGTGTCTTTGGTGCTAGTGCTTTCCACATGCTTGGCTTGATTCCACAAGTTGGAATGGTTCTTGGTAAGCTCTTTAATTTCTTCTCAAGCCTCAGCATGTATCGTTTGTTATTAGCTCATCGATCGTCTTCCTCTCGTCTATAAAGTCTATTATGCTACATTGTTCTTCATTTCATCGTAATTGACAATTAAAGCACCATTTTGAAGAAGAATAAGCCTAAATCGTCCGAGTATTTCTCACTGACGTTAACAGATGTCAATTAGGGGAACTGCACTAATTATAAAAAAAATGTAAGTCATCAAAGGTTGAGTCTTGAGTTAGCAACAGTATGATAAAATGCTCTAATGGGGGATAGTGAGGTGGCCTACTTAATTAATTAGCGAGTTAAATTATAAATCCAGGTGTACAGCTTCATAGTCTGTCATTTTATAATTGTTTCCCGACCATAAAAATTTGAAGAGCAGGTATAAAGAAGAGGCTCCAGGTCTGGTGTCCCAAAAATGTGTCTCATTTGTGTCTCATTGCTAATATGTTGACATGTGTCCTTTAACTTAACTTAAAACTTAACTCTATTAACTTTATTTATTTAACATTTAAATTTATAAAAAAATCCAAAATAATAAAAAACTGTTGGGTTAACGAGGTGAGTAAACACAAATATGATTCTTCACCTTCTTTTACGTGGCTGTTGAGTGAACAAACTTCTCTGTTCAAGCTCTCTGGTAGAAAGTGAGACTAATGAACAAGCTTCTTTGTCCCTGGATATGTGTGTATATGTATATATATTGACACACTTATATATATATATATATATATATATATGTTTTTGTCAAATATATATACACTGAATAAGGTATGGATATATATATATATATATATATATATAATCGAACCATTTATAATTTTCTTGCTGAAATATTCATATGTAAATTTGACTCTTATATATTGTATTTTTCATTTTTCCTTAAGGACATGGTCGGAGAAGATAATACCGGTGAAGCATATGAAAAGCCATATTTGAAATAGAATTCTTCATTTTCTTTCCATGGGTGTTGAGTTGCCAAGGTGAACAAGGATTAATGAAGACAAAAACGATTTGAAGCAGTGGGACTACTGCTTACTGAATAAAGAGTTGAGTAGGCAAACTGAGGGCTTTAGTAATTATCGATTGTGTGTATGTTGCTGTTGTTATTCTCGTGCAGAAAATACAAAGCTCCATTTTTCACTATAAACAAAACTAGAACTGTAGTATTCAATATTTCAGTTTGAGGCGAGTGAGATTATAACAAATATGAAATCATCATTCATAGTTGAGTTGATTGAGTTACACAAAACCAAAACTATAGTACTATATATGTCCTTTAAATGCAAGAACTGATTTGTGACTAAATGAAAGCTCTTGCAGGTGCTTGGTGTCAAACGAATTTCACTCTAAAAACAAAGTAAAGTTCATTCTTTTGTTCCATTGGCTTCACTGGGATTATCTTTTTCGTCCACGTCCTTAAGGAAAAATGAAAAGTACAATATAAGAGTCAAATTTATATATGAATATTTCGGCAAGAAAATTATAAATGGTTCAATAAGTGTATATATATACTTTTTTTTTTTGTCAAATATATATATATATGATTCATAGCATGGAGTTCCTTGATCACCTTTCAGTTGGGACGCAGAAGCTTGCTCATTAATTTCACTTTCTATTAGAAAGCTTGAACAGAGAAGTTTGTTCACTCAACAACCATGTAAAAGAAGGTGAAGAATCCTATTTGGGTATACTTTTTTTTTTTGTCAAATATATATGATTCATAGCATGGAGTTCCTTGTTCACCTTTCAGTTGGGACGCAGAAGCTTGCTCATTAATTTCACTTTCTACTAGAAAGCTTGAACAGAGAAGTTTGTTCACTCAACAGCCACGTAAAAGAAGGTGAAGAATCCTATTTGGGTTTGCTCACCTTGTTAACCCAACAGTTTTTTATTATTTTGGATTTTTTTAAATTTAAATGTTAAATAAATAAAGTTAACAGAGTTAAGTTTTAAGTTAAGTTAAAGGACATGTGTCAACATATTAGCAATGAGACAAATGAGACACATTTTAAGGAACACCAGACATGGAGCCTAAAGAAGAGAGAGAATTTTGAAAAATTACAAAAAATAAAAAATAAAATAGAGTACCTAAATTGTAATGACCATAATACATTGCATCAGAGCAAACTATACGCATGTGTTGAATTGTTGATATTAACAACTCACGTGTTGAATATGTATTGTTCACGCGTTAATTAAATTTAAATAACCTTACACGTGACGAGAAGTGTTGAGAGTGTGAATGAGTATTAGAGTGAAGAAACTTGAGGTTTCACTATAAAACCAATTGGCAACATGGAGAGTAGCCCAACTTACTTATAAGCTCATTCAAGGTCCCATCAATGTGAGACTCATTCTCAACACGCCCCCTCATGTTTAGCAAATTTTCAAGACTAACACGTCAACAACACAATGGGGTGACATGGAGCGCGTGTGGTCGTTTGGCTTCACACTTGAGACAAGTTGCTTTGATAACATGAAGAAAGTTGAGGTTCCATCATGAATCAATTGGCAATATGAGGGGTAGTCCAACTTACTTATAAGCCCATGCAAAGTCCCTCATTCCATCAATGTGAGACTCATTCTCAATAGATTAGTAGTTTAAATGATTTTGACT